ACAATACCTCCAACTCACAAAGCCACTGACACCTGCCTTTTAAATGAACAAGAGAACAGATGCTCCTCAGTAAAACGCAGCATCTCTGGTTCCTTCTCAATGATACCTCGCCTTCCCTACATGCTGGGGAGACCTGGAGAGTCACACACAAATCACCTGCAAGATGGGTGTGTAAGCCCTACCTGGCTCCCTCAGAGGTGAGCTAATGGATGGCAAAGCACCTCTGAGGCCCAAGAGTGCGGGGTGTCTGTGAACGCTCACCACGGGACTTTAGAGGTGCATTTATGCCCAAGTGTTGTCTCTGTCTGAGATGACATCATCCTGTCCTAACAGCTCTACCAGACCCAGGTTGTCAAATCCATTTTGTAGATAGTCAAGCTCAACTCCCAAGAAGGACCCTATTTACCCAGGACCTTGCACTCTTGTGACAAGGAATACTTCTGGACCCTACTGCCTGTACTGGTCACAACAGAGCCTGGCTCCTGGTAAAGGGGAGCAAAGGGAGCAGGGGCTCAGGGAGAGGGCACCTTTGAGGAGATAGCCTCTGCTTGCTGTCAGTCTCTGAACACCCAGGCCCTCAATGAACTTTCCCTTAGCCCAGCCCTGCCTTCCAGGCAATTTCAAATACCAGTTTCTAGAGAAAAGAGTGGGCTGCATTCTCTCTGGGCTCCCACCATCCTCCCTCTCCTCCCAAGTGAAACCTCCTTCTGAGGCTCTTTCTTAGAGCATCAGCCTGCAGGGTGATTCTCTGTCTGTAGCCTCTCTGGGTTAGAATCTAAACCCTAGAGAGAGCTGCAGGCGGACAGAGCCCTCCTCCTCCACTGCTCCACCTCAGCACAGGCACCTCCTGCCCTGGGCACTCTGGACCTCCCCTGTCCCCAGGGCAGGCAGCATCAGCAATTGCAGACTTCGGGGAGCTCTGCCTGCTGCCCAGGCCCATCCTGGCCCCTGGGAGCTGGTGTCACTGCAGCTGCTACCAAATAGGACTCCTAGGGCTTGGTTTCTGTTGTTTTTCCCTTCCCTGCTCTCATTCCCTGGGAAGGAGAAGGATGGGGATCAAGGGAGGAGGGAATAAGCTAGCCTCTGGGTCTCAGGAGACAATCCCTTGCCAAGTCCTCTTGTTGTTGTCATTCGTCTTCAAGTTAGTCCCAATTGATGGTGACCTCGCAAAACACTGCCTGGCCCCACGCTTCCTCATGATTGGCTGTGGCTTGAACCTTTGTGCTCCTCGAGGGATTCACTGGCTGACTTCTACTAGACTGCTTGATTGTTCTGCCTCTTCTAAGTCTGGAAGCTCCTCTGAACCCCATTCAGCATCACAGCAACAGATCCGTCTCCATGGGCTGCTTGGGAGGCTGCACATGAAGTGCATTGACTAGGAATCGAACCCAGATCTCGTTGCAAACGAAAAGCAAAACTCCTTTGCCATCGAGTTGCTTCTGATTCACAGCTATCCTATAGGACAGAATACATAGGATCCCTGAGGGTTCCTGAGTCTGTAAATCTTTATGAAAGCAGATTGCCCATGGAGCAGCTGGTATGTTCAAACCACCAACCTTTCAGTTAGCAACCCAACAATTAACCCACTGAGCCACCAATGCTCACAAACACCCCAATCCTAGAGTAAGAACCTAAAGTCAAGTTCCTGGTGCATTTGAATATGCCTCCGTGTGAGGGGCAGTGATTTGACCTTGAGTTCAGTAGCACGGGGGGACCCCGGAAGCTTCTGCCCAGGGCCCTGACTCCAGCGCAGACCCACGGGGAGCTGCTCCCATGGGAGGAGGAGAGCACATCTAGATGTCCACAGCCTACTGTGGGCTCCTCGAAGGCCTGGAGTCAGGCCTCACTGGGCAGCCTGCCAAGAATCCCTCGAGAGGCCCTGCCCCTCCTCTGCAGCTGGGCAGCCGGGGCCTGCACAAAGAGTCTGAAGGCTCCCATTTCTCCTTTTCAGGACAGTCCAGTCACCTCTGCCAGTCATCTGAAGAGGAGCTTCTAAAACAGGGGCCCAGCTCCTGGGTGGGGCCATGATATCCCAGTTAGTAGGGACTATGGATCATCCCATTGAAGGATGAAACCCAACAGGCATCTTCTCACACTCCCAGAAGAAGAACCCATGCGGCCCTCCGAGCCTAGACGGGCAGGGTCTGGGCATCCCCCTTTCCCAAGGTGAAGTAAACTGCACACGGAAGGTAAATACCAGGCAGGCTCCACCCTCCCTCCTCAGTGCTACCAGCCTTCAGGAACAGCCATCATGACCAGGAGCAATCCTTCAGCAAAGCCTACTGTGCGCCAAGTCAGATGCTGCAACCTCATACACATCACTTCATTTCACTTAACCCTATACCTCTTTATTTGCTCTCAATTACCAGCACAAGGGAAACAGAGGGCGTAGAGAAATGTGTGGTCTGCCCAGTGCCTTAGAGCTATAACTGACTGGGAAGGTGGACCCAAAGCCTGCCTCTAAGCCAGTGTTCCTCAGGCCGTGCTGGAAGCTGCCCCTAACCATCACACCGGACACTTGGACGGAAGCTGCTGTGCAGAGGTGAATGAATGGCCTCATTAGTGATGTGCCCTGCCTTGTAAACCCAAGTGGTGAGGGCATGGAGACATATCCCCTTTCCTCCACTGAACACATCCTTGACGGCCTTCTCGGTGTCCTGCAAGCTCCTGGCATTGCGTGTAACATTTTTTAGGCTTGTGCTCTTTTCTTGGGAATATGTACTTAGACTCACACCCGATTCCTGGAGGAATATGTGACCTAAAAAAGGTTAAGAGCGCAGATTGTTCTGTCAGGACGGGATCTGCAATTGATTAGACAAGGCCCTGCCACGCCTGCCACCCTCAGTTTTCCTGTGAGGACCAAGCCAAGGCTCCCTCTCCCCTGGAATTCTACCCCTGTCCTGGTCCCTCAAAGAGTCCAGGCAGGCGGAAGGGCTGAGAAGGCTCAGAGAGGATCTGCCCTGCCAGGCCGGCCCCATAGAATCCCGTCCTCAATGATATCCATCTCCTACTGGGGCAAAACATCACTTTTCTTTTCACTTGGAGCGCCTGAGTCACATCTCAACTCCATTTCACTGTACTGTGTGACGCAGTCCTGTAAGAGCCAAGCCTTGACTGGGACCTGGAAGGAGCTCCATCCGGGTCAATCAGCGAATGCCCAGGTTCCATGTGGACACTGGAAACCAGCTGGAGAAGGGCCCCTGACCCAGCCCACAGAGGACCAGGCAACTTCCTTCTGAGCAGCACTAAATATTTTCCTCCTGCGCATCTCTTTCCTGCATAAAAACATACTCAGAAAGGCTGGAAGTCTGCAGACAAGCAGGATCGGGCAACTGCACAGGGGTATGCATTCATTTGAGGGAGCTGGTGTGTGCCTGTCGGGTCATGGTAGCTTGTATGTGTATGTGTGTGAGTGTGTGCACAGGCAGCTTACTTGTACACAGCTACAGCCCTACCTCCCACACATTCACAGACACCAGCATGAGCTCACACATGCCTACAGCAACCACACTCCCACACGAGCCTTCGGGCACAAGCCTCACATATGGGCATGCAGGCACACACCTGCACACTCACGCACGTACACACACACCTTCCTGTGTGCATCCGTACCAGGCCTTACAGGCATGTGCACGGGGAGCCCTCACTGGGATACAGCTGTGCCCAAGTGTTAGATTCACACAAAAATGTGCATCCTTGCACAGATACATATTTGCACACAGCCTAACCTTCCACGCATTTACCTCCTGATTTGCACACCTCCCTGAGCTGCCACCCAAATACATACAAAGTGACGTACATTCACATTTCCACTTTCTGAAAACCAGCCAGGGTACCACTTGTGACATTTGCACGCATACATTTGTGCAAGGCACATTTGCATTTCTGGGCCTGACACATGAAGCACACACTAGCACCTCCTACTGTACACACACATGCACACCTGCACGTATTTTCAGTGTATAAACTGCACCCCAACAGCCAGTTCTTACACAACAGCACACGTCAGCCCCCCTTAATATGCCACTCCAGACCTCACACTGGCACACATCTGCTCACAGGGACCCTTTCTCCAGCATTCCTGCTGCTAAAGCAGGAACCAGCCAGGCCGTTGGAGCACCTTTGCCCACAGGACAAACTCCATCTCCAGGATGCACCGCTGCCCTTGGCCCATCCCAGGATCCTCTACAGACTCAGCTAGGGTTTCCCGGATTGCTTCCCTGACACTCCACAGCCTACCGGGCTATCCCAGGGGGTTCCCTTCCATCCTTGCCCTCCCACCCTTCCCTCCACCACTACTCATCAGAGGGGGAAAGGAGCTGCAGGGCTGAGCAAAATTTGTTTAAGGGGATCATAGATTGCTCACCCTTTATATCACTAACCCTAGTAACAGAAGTGGGCCCCTAACTTGGCTAGTGGCTCCTCCCCTCCTCCCAACACTGGGAAAGCCTGGCCAGTCTCTCCGATATTAACCCCTGCACTACCATGTCCTCACTCCTGTAAGGAACTGGGGAGGTGCTTGTGGGAAGACACTGGCCATTCTGCACAGTCGGTGCAGGTGTAAAGTCAGGAAGGACTACTCAGGAAGTGGGGAACCTTCTGTCACTAAAGGCTTGCAGCCAGATAGCCACCTCATGAGAAATGTGACAAGGAATTCCAGCTCTGGATGCAGCTGACTAGTAAGAACCCTTTCAACCCTGAGTTTCCAAGAGTCCCTGTGTGCCCAGGTCAAACATACGTACAGGTAATGTGTACTGACAGGCACATCAGTCCCTCACCCCGACACACACACACACACACACACACACACACACACACACACTCACACACACACACACAACCACCCAGCTGGCCTCAGCACACGTGTGCACCAGCAAGCCTTCTGTGCAGCCCGGGGCACCCATGCACATGCAAGTGCCCAAGGCATGCACGTGTGCGCTGAGCACTGCAGGCACATGCTCCCCCCTGCGCCCTCCAGGACTCCCTGAGGCGCAACTCACTTTCCCAGTTCCTCGAAGAGCTGGTACTCTTCCGTGAAGCGAGTGCAGGTGATAGTGGCCATCCTGGTGCTGGGCGGGCAGGCGAGCCGGGAGACCGGGACTGGGGCACTGCTGCTCTGCTCCCGGAACCAGGGACCACTCGCCTGCCCGTGCTGCCGAGTGCAAACCGAGAGCCGGCTTGACTGACGAGCCCCGGGCTTCTGAGCAGGGCACTGTGGCTGCTCGCAGCCTCGCGAGCCTTCGTCAGCATCCAGGTCCCCATGGCAACCACCTCCGAAACGCCCTGTTCCCGTTGCCCCGGTAACTGCCTCCCCAACACCTGCCTGCCTTCCACTGCAAAACCTGCTCCCGGTCGCCCTGGCCCTACTGCACACAACACTGCAGGCCTGTGTGGACCGGGGCGGGTGGACCTAGTACCCCTGGGGGTGGATGGTATTGGAAGGGGGGATGGGCAGAGAACAAACTTAGTCTACAAGTGATCTTCTCTCTTCCCACCTCCCCCATCCCCAACTGTGGGGCCCTTGTAGCAGACGGGATGGGATTAAGTGGGGCAAAAAAGCAGTTGCCATAGTAACAGCCGGTGGGTGCCACATTCTGGGATGGTCCCAGGGAAAGACAGGATGCAGTTACCCTGGCAACTTCATCTCTGCTGGAGAGACAGGTATTGCCCCGTTGCCCTGGCAACAGCTGGGTTCTGAGGTTTACAGGGAAATGATGGCTAATTCATCGGGATGCCTCTGTCTCTCTGTGGATCTCTGTGGTCTCTGTAACTGCCTTTCTGTTCCTCTCTCTATTTTGGGAGTCTTGCCCTTGGTCTCTCTTATTTCTCTCTCTCTGCTCTTAGACCACCTTGCCTATCATGCATGTAGTTTTGGGGTGAAGTGCCAAGGAGATGCTAGCATCTTGTCTGTCTGCATAGCTGTACCAGTTGTCCTCTCCTGAGGCCTCTCCCCTACCCCATGTCCCCAAAGGAGCCATGGAGAGCTGGCCTCCTGGGACTTGTGTCCCAGTTTCTGCTTGTACTTCAAGTCAAGGTAAAAGTAGCAAAAGAGTGGTGGGGAGGGGAGCATGGCTGGGTGTACCCAGGATGGAGCCAGCAGCCACTGGCCTGCTCTGAAATCTTTATTCTCTGATGGTGTGAGCATCTTCCCCACTAACTTCCATTCTTCAGGACAGCAACCATAGCTATGGCCCCAAGATTACACCCCAAGACCCAAAAGATTAAGAAGGAAATGGACTGGAGTTTAAGATTAAGGATCTGAGTTTAAGCTCCAGCTCTGGCATTATTAGCTATATGATCCTGGGCAAGTCACTGACCCTTTCTGAGCCTTTATAGCCTTTTCTATAAGGCAAGGGGACAAGGCTACCACTGCTAAGGAAGGTGGGAGAGGCTGAAAGGCCATTGGGAAGTAAGTGTGTTAAGTATGAGGCTTCTTTTTCATTTCTAGAACAGGAAAAAGCAGATTTAATAGAAGAGTATGACTACCCCTAAGATTCCAGTTTGGACTTGAGCCTCCTAACTTCCCCCCACCCCCACATACAGAAAGAGAGAGAGAGAGAGACAGAGAAATTCTTTGCTCAGGCAGAGCCCTCAGGAAGCCCAGGGTATGGAGTCAAGATGAGATCCACAAAAATCAAACCCTCTGGGCTTCCAGTCCACCCCTTGAGCCTCCACATTGCCTTACTAGTCCCCCTTTACTGAACATATTAGCAGCTCCAACAAGTCCCTGACTCACTCCCCTGCGTCCAGAAGCCCCTGGAGACAATTGGGTAGCCTTCTTTTCTGCCCCTGTTCCTGGAAGTCAAGGCGGGGGAGAGTGATGAGCTGAGCCTTGCAATGCAGCCACTTCTTCCCAGGAGAGAAATGGGAGGGAGGCCGAGAAGGAGGAGAGCCAAGCAGAGGGGTGGGGGGAGGTAATGGCATAGCCACTAATTGCACCATTACCACCTTCAGAAAAAGGAAAAACCACTCCGTTTTGTTTCTGTGCACAATATGCTTCCCGCTTCTGCCGCCAACGTCGCAATTCAGAGGCAGAGAGGAGAGACCTGTGCTTGGGGGCTGCGCAGCCGGTGGGCAGCAGCAGGGCACTAACACCGAGTTCTGACAGCTGGCAGCATGGGTGAGGAAGGAGGGGGAGAGCTAGTATCATCGACCTTGCCCCAGACCCTTAGTCCTGTCCCCAGGACTGACTGACTCCCACACAGGAAAACAGCCCTTAGAGGTCTCAGTGGAGGCCATCAAGTCATTGCCCAGGGCCAGAGGCAATGTTTCATAATGATTAGATCACAGGGCACAGGAGGAGTCAAGAGGGAGCACCCTAACTTTTCTACATCTCAGTTTCTTCCTCTGCAAAACGGAGTGACTAATATCCTCTCCCTCCTGGGCTTTTCTATGGATTCAGTGACATGTATAGAGCGGTTGACACACTGTAAATGCTCGATATATGGGGAAAAACTTTGTCTCGCATATTGTGGGCATGTTTCTAAGAGAGGTTATTCCTTAGAGATGTGTCCAGGGTCAGTGAAAGAGAGGAAGACCTGCAACCAGGTGGACTGACACAGTTATGCAGCAAAGGACTCTAGTGTGTCAGGGATGGTGAGAGTGGCACAGGATGCGGTGGGGGGGTAGATCTGTTCATAGGACCTCAGTGAGTCACTCTTGACAGCACCTAATGACAACAACAAGCATTTCTGAGATTCCACTATCCCTCCCTGTTGCTTCCTTCTCTCTGATTCGTGGAAGAGCACATCAACGTCTTCAAGTCCTGGAGCCCTGTGTTCAATCCTGGACTGGAATTCAGCTGTTGCTTTCAGCATCTTGTCTCTTATTTCCGTTTTGCAGCAATTCCTATAGAACAAAACACTGATGTTGGAAGGAGAAGAGGCCTTGGGACCTTCAGCTCATCATGTCCCAATAGACGATAACACTGCTTAAAAACAAATTAAGGTAATTGTGCAGTGAGGCAGTATTAATGAAAGTATAATATTCTGAACAAGGGCAGTGATTGTCTGGCTGGGCTTAGCACAGCCCCACCCACCTTCCTGCCTCCCACCACAAGGCCTCAGCCTGCGATGAAGAGAGGGATCTGCCTCAGTCCACCTACTTTGTCATTCCATTCGTCCATCCTTCCCTAATTCCATCTCACTTTCTCCTCAGCTCTTCTTTCTCTCCTTTACTCTTCCTCTCCTCTTTTCTCTCCACCCTCCCCTGCGTCCTTTCTTCACAGGCTCCCTATCCTCCTCCTTCCTTTTCACTCCCTTTCCGGTTCCTGTCTTGCTTCCTCTGTGTCTCCATCTCTCATTCTCCTCCTCCCAGTGGTGCCCTGAACCCTGTGCACCCAGTTCTGGTGGACGGGCAGGACCCAGGTTGTAGGATTCCTGAGGAGGAAATAGATGGAGAGGAGAGGGAAGGAGAAGGTGGGACGAGACAGAGGCTTCATTGCCAACTAACTCTCTCTCTCTCTCTCTCTCCACACCACCTCTCCAAAGAGCCTAGCTCAGGGGTACGATCACTGTCTCAGCATGAGGCTGAATGGCTGTCACTGGCTCGTCAAACCATCACTAAATCCTCCACTCGGAGTGTAACAGCTGATAATCACTGTGTCCCCTGTGCCCACGGGGTTGGCAGCTGTGCCCGGCAGTGGCGGGCAGCAAGGAGCCAGCCGTGTCTCTGTGGCGCTGAGAGAATGAGCGCATGATTGCATCAAGGGGATTGTTCCTGCCAGACTCCCTGCTCCCCAGGGCCATGGCAGGCACGCAAGCCCGCACACGTGCCCCATCTGGAACACACGTGTGCTCCTCGGGAACACGCCTGCGTGCCGTGGGCAGTGGTCAGGGCAGGAGCCCTGGAGGCCGATGAGCACAGCCCCGACATACCAGCACAGAGACCAGCACGTGGATGTGGGCTGCACTTCACAGAGACAGGGACAAAAGGAGGCCAGGAGAGTCCTCAGGTCACGTGGGGGTGGGCTGGAGACCAAAGTGGCATTGAGATAACAAATGCAAAGCCACTTCCACTCCCACAAACATGCTCATGTGCGTGCGTCAAGTGTCCAGGGTCATGTAGTGCAAGGCAGATAGCACAGAAAGTGTGGGATCCAAAGGGTTCTCACGGGGCCTGTCCCACTAAGCACAGTGGGTAGAGGCAGAATCGGTACAAAGTGGGCCAGAAGGGAAAGGATCCCGCAGAGGATGTGAGTGGAGGGTGACGTGATTGATGACTCACAGCAAGTCAAACCAGGCTGTCCTCAGAGGGAAGGAGGAGAGGCAGAGGTCAGGGGATAGCTGGCAGCAGGAAGCAGCATGGAGCAGCACTGTGCCCCAGAGCGTCCCTCTGAGGAAAATGCTTTGCAGGGAGGTAGGTACAGGACAGGGATGGCTGCTGGAGGCTGAGAGCTGCAATTTCAGGGACAGGATTCAAGTTCAAGTACAGTCCTTGGCTTTGAGCCTTTTCCTCACTGGGGCCTCCACATCTTCCTGAGAAGCTTCGGAACAAAATGTTTGCTCGCTGCCTCTAAGTATATGAAATACACCGGAGAGCCAGTCCCTGTGCTGGGCTTACATATTGCACTACTCACACCTCACAAGCATCCATTTAGATAAGTATAGTTCTTGCCCATTTTACAAAGATGTGATTTGACTTATTCAACCGAGGCCGTTCAGCTGGGGTTCACATGGAGGTCTGTGTGACTCCATCCCTGATGCAATGTCTTGGCTTCTATTAGGGCTGGGAGGGCCTGAGGGATCCCAGGCTCCAAACACACAGGGTGGAGAGGTCCAGAGAGGGGCTGTGGTCCTCCTGCAGGTGCACAGCAGAAGGCAGGGCTGGGATAACGGGAGTCCGGACTCCCAGAGCAGGGTTTCTTCCTTACCGAGCTCTGCCCTGCTTCTAGGCACCAAGAGGCCTGCTTATCTATGTACCAAGGAAGCCAGCAGATCCCCAAATAGAAGGTGAGAGTGGTGGCAAGGCCTCAGGTGGGGATCAGAGACCTATCCTTCCAGTGAGTCTGGGGTGCTCTCTAATTTCTGGGGGACAAGTCAGCAAGCCCAGTTTAGAAAGGAGCGTATACTAACTCTAGGTCCTCTGACTGGCAAATCTGTTGTTATCCATGGCTTACATAGCCAAGAAGGAAGCAGGGACCTTATAGGGCATCTCTGCTCTCTGCCTCCGGATTCAACTCCCTCTGGTTGGTCCTCTGTCTTTGTCCTCCCCACCAAAGGGACTCGAGCAAAATCATTTGCCTGGCTCAGGGACAGAGTCTGGATCCAGATCCCCTGGCTGGGGTGGGTTTCAGGGAGCCCTAGGAGAAAGGAGTAGGACAGATGGGAGCTGTCGAGCAGAGCGGAGGTCTCAGTAGGCTGTTTTTTGTCTCAATGCCCAAGTCTTACTCTCCCCTTCTTCCAAACTCCACCACCACCACTACCAGCCTTGGGCCCTGGTCACCAGCTACCTCCTGTGGGCAGTTTCAGAGCTGCTGAGCTCTGGGCAGAGGGAGCTCAGAGCAAGGGGAGCTCTGAGCTGATATTGATCATGGACTAAGACCCAGGCCAGCAACTCCCCTTCCAGGGCACCAGGAACAGGTGCCATTCCCATGCCCAGCTAGGCTTTCTTCACTCAGCTCAAAGTTGGTCTTGTGGAATTCACACTGGTGCCCACTGGTGAGCAGAAAGGGCCTTCAACAGTCCTGCACTTGTAGCCCCAAAAGATAGGAGAAACTTCTTCTGGGAGGAGATGTTGGAGCTGAACTGGCAGCTAGCCCAGGACACCCCGGGCATGGGCAGCTCCAAGCAGGTGCAGCAGAAACCTCCACATACTCAGGCAAGGTGGGAGCCCCAGGAGCCTCGACTCCCTGCCACCCTTCATGGGGGTGGTCCATCCACACAGCAGGGCCAGCACCCAGCAAAGCTGGAAGATCCTGGGTAATGGAAAGACTGAAGTGTCCACTGGGGAGCAGTGGGCCTAGGACACGTTCTCAAAGCCTCTGACATGAGCAGACAGAAATGCTAAAATACAAAGGCCTCAGCCAGTCCTGGACTCTGCCCCTGCCCCTTCCATCAGGTGGAGTCAGAGAAAGGTTCCAGGTTGAGGAGATAAAGATTACCAACAAGAAAGGGCCCAGGAGAAGGCCACCTACACCCTGCATCCTGGGCTGGACCCTCACTGCAGATCTCAGCAGCCCCTGCAGCCAGGACGCAGCTCTGTAACCAAGACCCGGGTCCGCCCCCCACCCTACCGCACCCACCCCACCCCACCCATCCCACTCATCCACATGCTGACGAGTCCTAACAGGCCTCCTTTGCCAGTGACAAAAATAACTATTTTCAAAATTCACAGCAGGGCTTTCGCCTACACACGCTGTGCCGACTGGAACCTGAAGGGAGATCGGCGGAACGCATTGTGCAGAGTGCAGGCACGCTATGCAGCAGGCAGGCTTTTAAACCCCCACGGCCTCCTCCCCACCGCTCAGCCCACACACACACACACACACACATACACACACGGGCGCCCCAGGAAGAGCTTTTTAGCTCATCCACTGTGCTCAGGGGGATACTGAGGACCTGAGAGGGCCAGGATTTGCCTGAAGTCACACCGCTGCACTCCTGCCGTCACACAAGTTAGGGGTGGAGTCAGGATGACCATGTGGAACTCCTGACTCTCAAAAGTGCCATCTCCTCTCCCTGGCTCTGCCCTCCTGCTCTGTTCTCACTCTTCCTGGCAGTCCAGTCCCAAGGTAGCAGCAGGTGCCTGTCTGTGGCAGGAGTGGAGAACTAGACTAGAACCTATCTGGCCTGTGTCCCAGCCAGGCTACCCATCCCTCTCCTGTTCACTCGGCCAGGCCAGGAGCTCACCCCAGCCCGAGCACACACGCCCACCCACGTGCACAGATAGCACAGCGCCCTCACGTCTGTTCCAGAGCTTTAATCAAGTTCACAGGCTCCTCCTCCAACATTCCCTAGGCCAGTCCTCAACAGCCTGCTGAGGTAGGCAGTGCCACGGTAGGCATCTCCATCTGCAAATAGAGAAATAAGGCAGAAGGTCTGGGCCCCCAGTCCAAGGACAACTCCCAGGTACTGATTGTTCACTGAGGGGCTAATTATCCAGCGTTTTCTACAGGGCTTGGTCCTGAAGTGGCTAACCATTGAGCTAATTCCTCTAGGTCTGGGGGTCTAGGAAGGAGTCGCTCTGCCACGGTCTCCCTCACCAGTCTGACATCAAGAGTGGAACAGGCCACGTGGGATGTCAGCGAGGTCACGATCCCCTGATATCTGCACAACCATTCACCCTCAGTACTCAGAGAGGGATCAGTCTCCTGATAGCACCCTCTCTCCGGCTCCGCCTTCCTGTGACCCCCTCTCGAGCAGCCCCACAGAGTTCACACTTCAAGTTAAAGGCTTTAATGAGCCAAGAGGTGCTGAGGCCTGACAGGAACCCTCTCACAGCCCAGGCACCAGCTCTACCACCAAAATCACGAGAGCTCATTTTGCAGCTGAGGAAACGGAGACCCAGGAAGCTTATAGAGATCACCCGAGGTCGCAGGAAGGACTGGGGCCCAGCGTCCCAGTGGGCTTTGTTCTGTCCACCCTGCAGTCAGCTGAGTTCTCCATCTTGTCCTTATTCCCCTGGGAAGACTGGACCTGACCACCACCTCCTCCCTGAGGAGGCAGGCTTGAGCAGGGAAGTCCATCGGGATGGACAGAGACCCCAGCTCCCACTTCAAATTCGGTGGGACATGAGCCTGGTGTTGAGTTTGCGGAAGAAGGACCGCAGCTTGCAAATCTTGCATTTTCTCTTGCGGCGACCCCGAGAGAAGCCCTGAGTCTTGCTCTCCTCTTCTTCCTCCTCTTCCTCCTCCTCACTGGCCCAGGGCCCCCAGGCACCCCCATTAAAGTCAGGGTGGGCGCGGGGATTCTCCGCTGGATAGCGCACAGGGATGGCCGTGCGGTTATAGTCCACCAGGCGAGTGAGCAGGGCCCGGACCACATCCGGCCGCTGCTCAGCCAGGTCCTCCCGCTCATAGGGGTCAGCGCTGATGTTGAAGAGCCACACGGCCTGGCGGGCGCTGGACATCCGCTCCAAGTTCCACCAGCTGCCCGGGAAGGTGGCCAGCGTCTGCGGTGGGATCCAGTCACCATAGCCAGGGTCTCCCGTCAGCAGTTTCCACTCCCCGACACGGATGGCAGCCTGCACAGCCGTGTTCCAGATGCCAAAGCCACCCTCCAGGGAGCCGTGCCGAGCGTGGTTGTAGAGCGGGTCGATGTTGTGCAGGATCTCAGTGCGCGGCGAGGCCTGGCCCTCGCTGATGGCTGGCCACACGTCATAGCCATCCAGCCCATCAGTGGCCGAGGTGCTGCCTCCTGCCAGGCTCACCAGGGTCGGGTACCAGTCTGTGATGTGCACCAGTGCCCGGCTTGTCCTTCGCTTTCTCTTAAGCAGGGGGCTGTGGACGAAGCCAAGGCCTCGCACACCACCTTCCCAGTAGGTGCCCTTGCGTCCACGGAGCGGCCAGTTGCTGCCCCCCGAAAAAGTCTGGCCGCCGTTGTCACTGGAGAAGATAATGACGCTGTTGTTGTAGAAGCCGTAGCGCTTGAGGGCCCAGGTGATGTTGCGCACAGCCTCGTCCATGCAGGTCACCATGGCGGCATACTTCCTCCGGGCCACATTGCCCATGTTGCGGTAGCGGTACAGGTACTCCCTCGGGGACTGCAGGGGTGTGTGCACTGCCTGGAAGGCCACGTAGAGGAAGAGGGGCTTTTGGGGGCTGTGGTTGGCCAGGATGTGGCTGGCACGCTGGGCATAGAGCATAGTGGAGTATTGGCCACTGAGCCCCCAGGCCACGCTCTCGCCTTCATGCAGGTCGAAGCCACACACCCCTGGACCATCACAGTTGTCATAGGTATAATAGTCCACGTTGCCAGTGAGGGAGCCCAGGAAGGTGTCGAAGCCCCGGCGGGTGGGCAGGCACTCTTTCCGGTAGAAGCCCAGGTGCCACTTGCCCACCATGTGGGTGGAGTAACCTGCCTCCTGCAGCTTCTGGGGCAGTGTCACCTGGTCCAGGGGCAGGCAGTTGGGCTGCCGTGGGCGGATGATGGAGTGCTGGAGTCCTGTGTGGATCTGGTACCTGGCAGGGGAGTGGAGAACATAGAAAGCACAGGTGAGCTACGGACAATGCAACCCACCACAACACCCACTCTGAGGTGAGGTCTGAGCCCGGTGCTACCAGCAAAACTTCCAACATTATCTCTTACGTGTTAGCTGACGAGCTAAGCTCCTGACATGCATTATCTAGTTGAATATTCAAAATCAGTTAAAGCAGTTAATAAAACCATACTGATGTACAGATGAAGAGGTTAAAGTGCAGAATGGTTAAGCCATTGGCACAGGACCACATAGACAGAAAATTGAGGAGTTAAAGGTTGAACCTCACAATAATCATAACATCAACAATAACAACTAACATCCAGCAGTCACTAAAACATTGTGCTGTGCCCCATACATGAATTTTCTCACTAAGTGCTCACCAAAGTTTAGGAGATATAGCTCACTATTATTCCCAATGCCCAAATAAAACTGAGACTTGGCAAAAGTGCTAATCATGGATTATTCAATACAGTTTGTTTAGCCATTATGGGTATAACTCTCACCACATGGCTAGGTTGGATTATGCAAATGTTAGAGGCTTATTGCCAACTAAGTGGACTGGATAGCTTCCTAATAATATAAAAAAGGTAAATGGCACTTTTTTGTGGGAACATAGAAATAAGATACGTTAAATTGCCGATATGAGATTGGTCAGTGTGACTATCGCTTTGGACTTAAATTGCACAGGCTCAGAAGCAGAAAATAGGAATCTTATCACCATCAAGAAGAAGCAGGTAAAATAGGAAAAGAGCGCATAGATAATGAACACTACATTGGAACAGATGAGGGAAAAAACAGTCCGAAAGGAATATATGATTAGATATTCTATATGAGACAACAATCTGGTACATTGCAAAGTGTAGTGGGGGAGAGAATGGGAGGAAGGGAAGAAAATATGCAACAATGAATAAACACAATTTTTAATTTTTTTTTCATTTTATTTTTATTATTTGTGTGTGTGTACCATCAAATCAGATCTGACTGGTACAAGAAGAGATTGTTCCTCCTTCTCCAGCAGAGCATCTGGTAGATTCGAACCACACACCTCTGGGATTGTAGTGCAGCTTCTTGCCACTAGGCCACCAGAGCTCGCCAGCTTTTTAATTTTTTTTTTTTTAATTAAATACTTGGGTGCAACAATGAATGACTGGAAACCCTAAGTCTCTGAAAACTTTCATTAAAATTAATTTTAAAAAAATTAAATACTTGGAAAAAAAACAAAGAAGCAGCAGGCAGGCAGGCAGGCAGGCAGTGCAGCATGACCCCTAGGCCAGAGATTCCTGTGTAAGATGGAGCAGGACAGAGACAGAAGAAGCAACAACAGCAACAGCAAAGACCTCAGCAGAGTGAGTAGAGAACCAAAGCCTCGCACAAGGAAGAACTGAACTAGCTCGGCCTCTGCACAGAGCCAGGGCCCAGCACTTGGCCTAGGCCAACTGGTGGAGTGGAGGTGGCACGTCATCGGCAGAACAGAAAGAGCTCTGCAACATGTGATCAAGGCTCGGACAGGGTCTAGTCATTAAGGCCAAGGTCAGAGGCCTGCCTAGGAACTTGCCCTAGAAAAGGCTAACTGAAGAAGTGCATACGGAGTGCTTTTGAATTGTGTGACCTGTTACTTCCCTAATAAAACCCCTAACACGAGTATTGTCTGTGAGTTCTAGGTGGCCACTACAATGAATTAGCACTTCTAGTGGTAGAGCCATGAGAGGGGCTATTAGTGCTAAAACTGATAGAAGAAAGTGCAGGAGGATCGAGAGGAGGCAGAACACAGGGTTTTGCCATTGCTGTTCTTAATGGGGGCTCTGCCCTGCCCCGTGTGGCTTGCCGGAGACCAGACGCTGCTGCCCCATGCTCGCAGTACTGTTTTTACTGTAAACGACATCACTTGTGCAGGAATTTACACAGCTGGTAGACGGAGTTGAAATTTGTATCCCACAACCTGACCCCCAACCTTAGAGCTCCTAAACCCTAAAACTAATTGATAGAGGAAGCTAGAGCAAGTCCTACACTCTCAGGCCAACAACCATTGACTCTCAAAAGCTCAAATACTACCCCACTCTAAGCTCTCTCACAATTCTTCCAAGGAAAGGGTTGCTTTTGCTCCTGAGTTTCTTCAGCATTTAGTGCTTAACAGCAGGGTTCAAAGGAGTCCTAGTGGCACAATGTTTAAAGTGTTTGACTTTGAAACCAATAGCCACTCCGATGGGGAGAGAAAGATAGATGCAGCAGTCTGCTTCTGGAAAGATCACAGCCTTGGCAACCCCACGGAGTTTTGGTCTTTCGTTTTCCACAGGAACCCTGGTGGTACAATGGATTAGTGCTCAGCTACAAACAAAAGGTTGGTGGTTCAAATCCCCCAGCAGCTCTATGGGAGAAAGACCTGGCAATCTGTTCCCATAAAAATTACAGCCTAGGAAACTCTATGGGGCAGTCTGCAGAGTTGCTATGAGTCAGAATATACGCATCAGGGCACAGTCTCACTGTTCTACTTGGCCATGGAATTACGTTCAGTTGTATAAGAGTCCAGGGTTTAATCCCATGTAATGAACTATCCCTCACTCAATGTATTTCTAGCACCCAATTGACTTTTAAGGGACACTCATCACTTATGAGATGAATGAATAACAATGACACTCCCAGGAGTCAGAAGGAACGCAAGTCATCCTTATCTTGTCATGAAAATGAGAAGAGAGGAAAGGCCTTGCCCAAGGTCAGTCAGTGGTCATGGCAGAGCCAGAATGTGGACATAATAAAGCCAACTAGAATCCAAACAGAGATAGTTTTCCAGCAAATGAGGTCACTTCTCTTTCTCTGAAAAAAAGAGGAGGCGTGGTTGCTTGGTATAGAATTGAGTTGGCTGGAACGGGACATCTCTAGTGCCCTTTCAGCCGTTCCCCAAATGTTCTGAGACAGGCTTTCATGTGTCTGGCCATGAGTTCACGTGAATCCTCATTACAGACTAAATTACATCCCCCAAAATATATGTTGTAAATCCTAACCTTTATGCTTGTGTTTATAAGCCCATTTGGGAATGGATTGTCTTTGTTATCTTAATTAGGGAAGATTGGTGTAGGATATATTTTGAGTCAATTTCTTGAGTGATAAAAAAAAAAAGCTTATACAAGTAAGCAAAGAGATAGGGTAAGATAGAAGCCAAGATAAATGGCATTCCCCATCAAAGCAGGAAGCAGGAGTTAAAGAGATAAGGTACTTCTAAAACATTTAGGAGATTGGGTTTATGAGGAGGCATGTGGCATCAGTATTTGAAGAAGACTCATCAACTTTGTTTGCTGAAACTGAGGAGGACCTGAAGTGCTTGCTGCGGAAAGTCAAGGATTGTAGTCTTCAATATGGATGGAAGTACAACATCAAGAAAAGAAAGAACCTCACCACTAGGCAAATTGGCAGCTCCAGGACAGATGGAGAAGAAATTGACATTTCAGCTTGCTCGACTTCACAATCAACACTATGAACACCAGCAGTCAGGAAATCAAAAGACGAATTGCACTGGGAAAATCTGCTGTCAGGGATCTCTCCAGAGTGCTGAAGAGCAACAATGTCAGTCTAGAGACTAAAGTGCACCTAATCCAGGCCATGGTCTTTGCAATTACTTGCTATGCATCAGAGAGCTGGAAAACTACTAAGGATGACAGAAGAAGAAGCAATGCCTTTGAGTTGTGGTGCTGGAGAAGAGTTTTGAACCTATTATAGACTGACAAGAGAACAAACAGGTCTGTCTTGGAGATAATAAAACCAAGCTATTCCTTGGAGGCAAGGATCTTGAAGCTCCATCTCACAATCTTCAGGCACATGGCCAGGAGGGACCAGTCCGTGGTGAAGGACGTGATGCTTGGAAGAGTAGAGGGATAGCACAGGAGAGGAAGGTCCCGGATGAGGTGGATTTGTCACAGTAACTGGAGCAATGGGGTAGGTATGTCGGAGCCAATGAGACTTGCTCAGGATAGGGCAGGCTTCAGAGCTGTTATACATAGAGTAACTACGAGTTGCAGGCAACTCGACAGCATATAACAACAACAATTCCTCCTGTGTGATGTACACCTCAGAAATCCAATGAAGCGTCAGCTATAAATTGGTTCCAACTCAACAGTGTTGAATTGAGTTCTGTAGCCATAGAGAGGAACAGCCTTCAGCTAGAGTCAGGGGTCTCTGACTTTGGGATTCTAGTTTCCTAAACTGTGCCAAAAGAACAAAAACGCATTGGAGAAAATGCAGCCAGAGTGCTCCTTGGAGGCAAAGATTATAAAGCTTCCTCTCACATACTTTGGGCAGGCTGTGACGAGAGGCTATTCCTTGGAGAGGGGCATCATGTACGGGGAGGTGGAGAGTTAGCAAAGGAGAAGAGGGCTCTCAACGAGATAGACTGAACGGTGACAGCTGCAATGGCTTTGAGTGTGTCAGGAAGTATAGGACAAGGTTCAGACATGTTGTTCATAGGGTCACTAAGGGTCACACTCAATAACAACAACTAACAACAAAAACAACAACCTGAGAAAATCCTTGGAGAGAGATATCATGCTGGGAAAGGTGTAGGGTCAGGGCAAGAGGGGTAAATCCTCAACAAGATGGATCGACATAGTGATTACCATAGTGGGTTTGAGCAGACAGAGAATGCAGAGGATGTGCAGGATAGAGCAAGGTTCAGATCTGTTGTTCACGAGATGGCCATGAGTCATAGCTGACGGGATTTAACAGCACCTAACAACAACAATAAACTGTGAGAAAATAGATTTCTGTTGGTAAAAGCCATCCACTTGTGGAATTTCTAGTACAGCTGCAAAGATAACAAAGTCATCCTTTGATCTGGATCCTCCCATAAGCCAACACTTAGAAATAAATTATTAGCAGAATCCTGTTTTCCTTGTTTACTCATTTGCATCCCAACGTGAGCTGCCTTTACTCAAACCTTCAAAATCTCAGAGTAAATACTGAGCCTGGAACTTCACAAGTGTGTTCGGAACCCCACACCTTTCTTCTCACCTCCAGGCATCCAAGTAAAGCCAAGACTTGACACCTTTTCATAGGGACATGGAGATGAGTTTCTCTGTTTTGATTTTCTTATTCTAAAGCTATGTGCTCACCAAGTTGTGCCAAGAAATCTGGAGAATAACCACTTGGCCAACTGACTGGAAGACATCTATATTTGTTCCCATTCGAAAGAAGGATGACCCAACAGAGTGTGGAATCTATAGAATAATATCATTGATTTCACACGCAAGCAAGATTCTACTGAAGATTATCCAAAAACGACTGGAACAACACATCAGCAGAGAACTGCCACAAGTCCAGGCTGGGTTTAGAAGGGGTAGTGGTACTAGGGATACTGTAGCTAATGTTAGGTGGATCTTAGCTAAAAGCAGGGAATACCAGAGGAAGTTATATCTGTGTTTCATTGACTATGCAAAGGCGTTTGACTGTGTGGATCATAACAAACTGTGGCTGACTCTGAGAAGAATGGGAATTCCAGAACACTTGATCGTGCTAACGAGAAACCTATACTTGGACCAAAAGAGAGTTGTCAGAACAGAGCAAGGAAACACTGCATGGTTCAAAATTGGGGAAGGTGTACCCCAGGGATGTGTCCTATCTCCATATCTTTTCAACCTGTATGCAGAGCACATTATCCGGGAGACTGGGCTCTATGAGGAGAAATGTGAGGTCAGGATTGGGGAAGATCTATTAACAATCTGCATTATGCAGATGACACAACCCTGCCTGCTGAAACTGAGGAGGACCTGTAGCGCTTGCTGCAGAGGGTCAAGGACTGCAGCCTTCAGTATGGACTGAGGCTCAATGTCAAGAAGACAAAGATTCTCACCACTGGACCAATTGGCAGCATCAGGATGGATGGTGAAGAGATTGAGATTGTTAACAACTTTAGTCTGCTTGGCTCCACGGTCAACACTCTTGGCACCAGCAGCCAGGAAATCAAAAAACATATTGCGATGGGAAAGTCTGCTGTTAGGGACCTCTCCAAAGTTCTGAAGAGCAATGGTGTCACTCTGGAGACTAAGGTGTGTCTGATACAGGCCATGGTCTTTACAATCACTTGTTATGCATCAGAGAGTTGGACAATGACTAAGGAGGACCGAAGAATTGATGCCTTTGAGCTGTAGTGCTGGAGAAGAGTATTGCATGTACCCTGGACTGCCAAGAAAACAAACAGATTCATCCTGGAGAGGGTTAAACCAGGGTTTAACCAGGGTTAAATCCTTGGAGGTAAGGATTCTGAGGCTTTGTCTGACATACTTTGAACATGTTGTAAGGAGGGAGAGGTCCTTGGAGAGGGACATCATGCTTGGGAGGGTGGAGGGACGGCGCAGAAGGGGAAGACCCTCTATGAAGTGGATTGATTCAGTGACTGGGGTAATCAGATGGGTGTGTCAGAGGCAGTGAGATTGGCACAGGATAGAGCAGGGTTTAGGGCTGTTGTACACAGGGTCGCTATGAGTCGCAAGCAACTCAACGGCACATAACAACAACAACAACAAAGCTATTGTTGTGAATTATTATTACCTACTATTGCCTTTGTTTTTAAAAAGCCCTGGTGGCACAGTGGTTAAGGTACTCAGCTGTTAATCAAAAAGCCGACCTCCAGCCACACTGGACAAAGATGTGGCAGCCTGCTTCCATAAAAATCACAGCCTTTTGTTCGCAATATCAAAGAGCTGGAAACAACCCAAGTGCCCATCAACAAATGAATGGACAGAGAAGCTCTGGGATATTCATACAATGGAATACTATGCTGCATTGAAAAACAAGGAACTAATGAAATATTATGCACAATGGATGACCCTGAAGGGCATTATGCTGAGTGAAATATCTCAGTCACAAAAGGACAAATATTGCATAGGGCCACAGTTGTAAAATGGGACTGACATCGGGATTGGGAGAAAACAGAGAAGGAGGGGAGGAATGATGTATACTACATTGAAACAGATGAGGGAGAGAACTGTTTAAAAGGGATATACGATTAGGTATTATTGTCATTACAGAAGTCCAGAATGAAGGCTGCACATTGGAGTGGACTTGAGGGGAGGGACTGCATAACAATGAAAGAGTTTTTTCTTTTTCAGGGAAAAGAGTGAACTCGGGGGAAGGGGTGGGCAGGGAGAAAAGTGCAACAATGAATGACTGGAAACCCTAAGTCTCTGTAAGCTTTCCTTAAAATTAATAATAAAAAAAATCACAGCCTTGGAACTTCATAAGGCAGTTCTAATTTGTGTTATTGGGCTGATACAAATGGGAGTGGACTCGAACGCAATGGGTGGGTAGTGACCTGTTTAACAGTACGTGCCACATATTTGTCTTCTCATTTTAAGCCTCATTGTGAAAAACCTATAGAGAAGACTATTATTTTCCCCATTCAATAGCCAGAGTTGGAATTAACTCGATGGCAAATGTTTTTAAGATGATGAAAAAGAAGTTCCCCAAACTGCAGGAAGTTACCCCAAGGTCAGCTAGTGAATAGTGAAAACAGATTTAAACTCTAATTCATTCACATTATGCTCAAAATCTCTTTATGTAAGCCCTCCTTAGAAAGTATGACAGAAGAACTGATAGCATTGAGATGTGGTGCTGGAAAACAGTACTGAATATCCCACAGGCTGCTAAAAGAACAAACAGGTCCGTCTTGGAGAAAGTGCAACCAGCTTGCTCTCTGAGGCAAGGATGGTGAAACTTGGGCATGTTGTTAGAAGGGGTTGGAAAAGGACAGCATGCTTGGAAAGGTTGAAAGAGTCAGCAAAAGAGAGGAAGACCCTCTGCGATGGATTGACACAGTGACTGTAGCAGTGTGCTCAAGTATATCCAAGTGGCTGAGGATGGCACAGGATAGACCAGGGTTCAGATCCATTGTTCATAAGGTCAGTATGAGTCGTAGTCGACTCGATGGCACCTAATAACACAACAAACAACAGGACCCACTTAAACAAATGAGCAACTGGACTTGATTGAAGAATCAGGCAAGAGCCCTGATTCTAGCTGAGCCTCTCTTCCTAGGGGTGTGGCCTGGGAACGCTGACTTGTGTGCAGTGAGGCAGGCCAGCTCAGAATCACCAAAGGGCCTCAGCAAGTGTGTAAGGAGAGAGACTTTGGCTCTCTTCAGCATTCCCGACACCACTAGATGCGTTAACAACCCCTAATGAGAGCAAAAAAGCTTCAGTCAGATGGAGCCAGCTGCAGGGGGTGGAGGGTGGACGCTTAGCTAACATCACAGATCAGAGGGCTGGAACACTGCCCCGCTGGCTGCTCTGTTCATTCTACAGCTTAAACCAAAAGTCACCTCTTGGGAGAGAAACGCTAACATGTGTGCCACTCTCAGGAATGCGGATTCCTCCTCCCTCTTCTGGATTTGTCAATGCTTGGTCTTCACCACCACCACCACCACCACCACCACCACCTCCGTCATTCATCCACGACACACACTTCCTCTCTTCCTCTTACTAACTCGCTAGCTCTGGGTCTAAGCACTGTGTGCTGGATACAAAGAAGCAATAGCACTGTGGCCTTCCGGCTCCAGAACTCTTCTTGTCAAGTGCCTGGCCTCTCCACCTTCTCTCCCAGGTGATGCTGGGCAAGGGCACTGATTGGTGCTCTCCAGGACTCCTTGCCTCAGTTTCTGTCATCCAGGAACAGGGAGAATTGGGCTCTAGTTTCAGAGATCACATTAGTGGCTATGGGGTGGAGTTTGGGAGAAAGCACCGCTTGGACCCCACCCAAGAAGGATTAGTTTCAGCCCTGCCAAAGGATTTTCTCCTAAGTGGCTAGAGTTTGCCTTGCACACCCCCATCTCCTTTTTTCCTGTTCCTTTAATCCTATAATACTGCTGCCTGGCCAGCTGACAACTCCTTAGGAAGAAAGTAGCACCAGCACGTCTCCTTTGGGCTCCCAGCCAATTTGGGAGGATTTCATAGATGAAAAAGCAGAGGCTCAGAGAAGTGAAGTAACCAGCCCAGAGCTGCACAGACGAGGCCACTTTGTCAGTTCCCTTGTTTCCTTCTAATATTTTCTATCGTAAATGGTTTGAAGACTAATCCTTTCAGTGGTATTTAGAATACCCAAAGCTATCATTTTTGGACAGCCAAGAAGAAGACATGCAATTCAGTCTCTTTACACCCTTCCCCCAAAACTATCCTTCGCCCTCTTTTATAGATAACTGAGGCTTAGATAAGTTCAATCACCTGCTCAAGATCACAGGGTCTATAAACAGAATAGTAGACTTCAAGGAGATGGCCAGAGTGTCCTGAAATGTTAGAAGCGGAAGACCCATCAAGTGTACAGTTGGGAAAACTGAGCCCCGAGAAGGCAGAGAACTTGCTAGTCAGCTTGTCAATTGGAGACAGAATAGGCCCTGAGCCTTGGTTTCTCAGGTCCCAGCAATAAGGCTGCAGGTACAGGGAAAACCTCCCCACTGGGTTCAGCTATGCTTGTATGCCCCATGACAGTGGTCTCAGTCAACCATCCCTACCTGCCAGTGAGGAGTTGGCTCCGTGAAGGCGTGCAGATGGGCTGGATATAATAATTCTCCAACTTGACACCCTCCGCGGCCAGCCGGTCCAGCGTAGGGGTCTCGATATCTGAGCCATGGTAGCCCACGTCGTGATAGCCCTGGTCATCAGTGAGGATGAAGATGATATGGGGAGGCTGGAGTGGAGCCGGCGAAGACAACTCTGCGACGGCCTCCACTGGCCCGTCCGCCACCAGGCTGGGTTTGGTCCAGTCCCAGGACAGGTAGCCAAAGCTGAGCAGGCTGATCAGCGAGAATCCAGTGAGGGCGTGCATCGCCATACTAGTCCGCGCGTCCCAGCGCGCAGGGGTCCTCAAGGCCTCCCGCCTCGCGCGCCCAGAGCGCACGACTCGCCCGCCAGCTGATCCGTCGGCTTGGTGACCCGGACACCGCGAGAGCGCTCAGCACGCTCGGGGCGGGCTCGGTGACTGGTTCCGAACTGGTGGACAGACGGTGGGGCCAGACTTTCGCAGCCGCTGCGAAGCGCTCAGCAGAGGTCAAGCCCGCGCCAAGCTGCCTCCTGCCTTCAGGACGTCCACCCTGCGCCCCTACCCTTGGCCCCTCTCGCTCCCTTTCCTCCAGCTCAGTCGGGCCAGTCTGAGATGCAGTTTGGAGACTTTCGAAGAGTGTTCTCCACCATCCTCTGACTCGCCTCTTGTAACCTCGGTTTTCTCCCGCCTCCTAATTTCTTTCGCCTCGCCTTTCCCTTTCTCCTCCCCCGACCCTCCAGCACCCCCCTCCCCAACTCGGTCCGGCCTCTCGCCCCGCCCGAAGTCTTCAGAACTGGGAAGATCCCCGCAGGGAGGCAGGCAATACCCTGGCGGAGAACCGGAGGGAGGCAGGGGTTGGGCCGCTCTGGATAGAGTGAGAGTGGGAGGGACATCACAGGAGAACGCGAAAAAGTTGTAGCATCTGCCCCACCGAGCCCCAGGTGGAGGGGCGGGACGCCAAGCGGCAGCTCCGCCCCCCCGGGCGGGAAGCCCAAGCCCGCGGGTCCCTCTGGCCTCAGTCCCCGCCCTGGCCTGGTCTGGGGAAGAGGGAGGGGGCTGCTTGGAATTAGACGGAACTGCTCTGTCACAGCCTAGTCAGCTATTCCTCTATCCTGCAATCTTAGCATTCCCAAGTGCTAAACTATCCCGCTGCTCAGAGAAGGAAAGATGGACCATCGGCTCAAAGATTACAGCCGAAGAAAATTCTATGGAGCAGTTCTACTCTGTCGCGTGGACTGAGTCAAACTCGACTCAAGGCATTTGGCAAGAAGCCCGCAAAGACATCACATCGCTTTCAATGGAGTCATTTTACAGAAGGGGACACAGAGGCCCTGAGATTGGTGTGAAATCACAGAACAAATGAGTGGCTTCTCCTTTTGGGTTCACAGTGACGATTTGGGTGGTAGACATGGTTGAGCATGAGGACCTGGAAGCCCACAAGCTGGGAACTGCCAACTTACTTCTCAAACCTGACCCCGCTCCATTCAGCAAATGATGACTGATGTCAGGATTGGAATCCAGATGGCAGAACTATTTCATACATTTCTATCTACGAGGTAGGGAGCTCTGGTAGCCTAGTGGTAAGCAGTTGTGATGCCAATGCAAAGTCAGGTGGTCCGAATCCACCAGTTGTTGTATGGAAGAAGGATGAGCAATCTCCTCCCATGTGATTTTTAGGGTCTGAAAAGTTGTTGGAGGGTCAGCTCTGAGTTAGTTTCAACTCGATGCCATAAAACCACATCAGCACTTTTAAAAGGAGCAGGACAGAATGGCTCAATGGCAGAATTCCCACCTCCCTTGTGGGAGAAACCAGGTTTCATTCCCAGCCAGTGCGTCTTGTGTACAGCCACCACATACCAATCAGTGGAGGCCTCTGGGTCGTTATGATGCTGAATGGGTTTTAATGGAGTTTCCAAACTAAGGCGACTAGGAAGAAAGTTCTGGTGGTCTGCTTCCAAAAGCCAGTCAATTAAAGCTCTGTGGAGAACAATGCTGGCATCTGTAACTAATTGTGCTGAATCATGTGTGACCCAGACATGTTGCTTTCTATTGTGTGTGGGATCACCAAGAGTCAAGGGCCGAGTAGATGGTCACTAACGACAACAAACATTTTTCACTGGAAAAACTAGAGTAAACAAAATCTTTTAGGCAACTCACTTCAACCCATTGTCTTTCAGTCAGAACTGACACAGATTGCACGGAAGAGATTGCCCATCCTTCTCTCGTGGGACAGCTGGTGGATTTAAACTCCCAGAGAGGGCATGACCTTTGGGTTAGAAGGACAACTCTCTGTGGACCGCACCACCACAGCTCCCAGGATTTCTTAAAATGTTTGATGTGTACACTGCCGACCCCTAGAAAGGAGATGGGCAAATCTCTATTTCCCAATTCCATGTGGTCAAGGACCCTGTTAGTCACAGAGCTGCTCAAAGGGCCAATGTCTGGGAGACATTCTACTCATCCTGCTGCCCAGATGTGTCTTCTCTCCCAGCATCTCCGATTGTCAGTGTTCTGGACTGAACCCTTCCCTCTGACTTCAAGTCTCTGTGTGTGGGGAAGGAAAACAGATTACTGAGACGGTCAACTGTATAAAACTGCATTTCCAACTGAGGGCTGTGTGAGGTCAGCTGATTCTATTTTCTCAGAGTCCCACTTTTAGGGTGACCAGATTTATTAGAAGGGAGCTCTGGTGGCTTAGACTGTAGGGAGTTACACCGCTGACAAAAGGACTACACCTTTCCCTGGCAGTTTGAATCCACCAGTCAGGGAGAAAGATGAGCAGTCTCTTTCTGTGCATCTTATAGCCTATTGAAATCCATTGGCAGCTCAACTACGAGTTGGTTCCATCTCCATAACAATGGGGTAGGGGGGTGGGGGGAACTGAGAGATTTAGCAGGAGGAAAATTGCTCCTGTTGTTCTGGCAAAAAAAATGTTGAGGGCAGGTAGGAGAAATTCAGCCTCCTGAGGGAATGCTGCTAAAACAGTAGTTGTGGAGGCTTTGGCCAGAGGCTTCCCTGGGGTTAAAAAAAAAAAAAGTAAGTCCTCATCAGAGGTCAGACAGACATTCTCTGCATTGCTCAAGACATTACTTAAGAGGAACTGGAGATGGTTTCCATGCACACGGGCGGGAGTCAAGAGGTTGCGTCACAGAAGGACTACAAGGTGGAGATGCACCTGGGATGAGAAAAGGCCGAGGGGAGGCAGAACCATGGACTGCAGATCACCATGACGTTGTCATGGGAACAAGATAGGCAGTATTTCTGAAAGTTCAAACTGTGAGCATTGGCATCAAACCGAGTTCAGATTCTGCCACTTATTCGGAATTTGGCTTTGTACAAGTTATTCTGCCTCTCCTGACCTCCATTTCTTCATCTGTAAAGTGGGATCATAATATAAATGAGATGTAGTACCATGCCTAGCACATAGTACATACTCAGTAAATATGAACTGCAATTAGGCTTGGTCTGTATGGTTCTGAAGAGGAAGGACTAGGACCTGTGGGTGAAAATGACTGAGAGATTTAAGGGATTACTGTGGCGGCAATCTAGAGGCTTGCTTAGTGAAACAATGGCAGTGATGGGTGAATCACCACTAGTGGAAGAGTGGGTGAGCCTCTTGGGCCCAATTCTATTCACCAATATGCCTATTTCTTTAAAGAACCTTGGAAGGCATTGTTCATCCTATAATGCCCTTGGGAAATCAACACTGACATTTAACTCTTCCTGTAACATTGCAACTGAGTTTGACAGGAGCAATTAAAGCAGAGGCTTAGGGAAGCTGGAGGGATCTCCAACCAGGCCATACCAAAGGTTCGGGGAAGACAAAGGGAAACCAACATAGTAAGGAAGAGAAATCCGAGTTCTAACAATGTCCACACGTGGCTCTTAGCTCCTCTCCAAGTTCTCTACAGGGCGCTTTCCTGACTTCTTCCCTGGGACAAGTTGTATGGGCCCTACAACACCCAGATAGACTCTCAAGAACTCCCTGATCTCACATGTTCAGTCCCAAGAATTAAGATTCAGAGAAACACAAGCTTCTCCTCCAGACAGGCTAAGCTAGCCATTGCATTTCCTTATCAAGGTCAGAAGGACCATTCCATATATGAGTTCTGACGGCCTCATTGTAAGAAGCTGTACTGCAATCCAAAGGCTCACAGATGTAATCAGTCTCCTCCCATGTGATTGGCGGGCTCTGAAAAGCTGCTGGAGGGCCAGCTATGGGATGTTTTCGACTCGACGACACCCAACAAGAGCAACATCCTGCATCGGTATAGGTACTTTCCCATTCCATAGCCCTCAAAGGACAACGACTCTAAATATAAGAAACCTTAATCCGTACATGAAACCCAGAGCAGATGTGGCAAAATAACAGAGAAGTCATTCTGTTACTTCCTAACAGCCACCATTATCAGGTGCCATTGAGTCAAGAAGGGCTCATTCTGATCTTATAAACAGAAGATCTGAACCTTGTCCTATCCTACACCATCCTCATGATTTCCACCCACTGTGGTAGCCACTGCGTCAATCCATCCTGTGTCAGATCATCTTAAGGGTCTTTCTCTCTTTCATTGACCCTCTGCCTTTTCCAACATGATGTCTTTTTCCAAGCCCTTTCTGACAACATGCTCAAAGTATGTAGATTTGATTTTTATTAATGAAATTGTTGTTACTGATTGCCATTGAGTTGAGCACGACTCATAGCGACCCTATGAACAGGCCTGAAGCCTTTCTAGAACTATTGTCATTTACCAAAGTTCATAGAGTTTCCAGAGGCATGTTGTTTAGGAAGTGGATGCCACTTCTCTTACTGGAGCTATGAAAGGAGAGAAAAAGCTCAAAGATAAATCTGTCCAGAAAATTATAAGAGAGAATGAAAGGATTCCAAGGTTCTCTCCAATTTAGATATGTTGATTCCAATTCCTTATCTCCAGAATGCTTCTTAGGAAATGGAGATTCAAAATTGAAAAACTGGGTGAGTCTGTTTTGTGACTTTGTTTTCCCCTGCCATTCATTCATGCATGTTTGTGTATTCATGTGTTTATATCATTTTTGTCATCTTTGTATCAAAATTACATTTGTAAGGAATATGACTAACAGTAAGAAGAATGAGAATCTCAGAACTCTTAATTGTGCTTATGAAAAACCTATAACTAGACCAAGAAATTGTTGTCCAAACAGAGCAAGAGAACACTGCATGGTATAAAATCAAGAAAGGTGTGCATTGAGGCTGTATCCTTTCTCAATGTCTCGTCAATCTGTAAGCTGAGCAACTAATTAGACAATCTAGACTTTATGAAAAAGAATGTGACACCAGGATCGGAGGAAAACTCATCAAC